TTGAATTTTAATTGAATTGAAAATATTCATAAAGAATATTATCAACAAATTTTTAAATATAATTGAATTCATTTGACGAATTCAAATAAAATTTTTAAGAATAATTACATTTTTCAAAAAATTCGATTAAAATTGCATTAAAAATAATTGAAATTGTGGGATGGCTTTTTTTATTTATAAAAATAATTGAATCTTTGCGTAGAATATTATTAAAATTTTTTTGAAAATAATTGAAATTTTGCCATGAATTTTATTAAAATTTTTGAAAATAATTGAATTTCAGAGAAGAATGTTATTACTTTTAAAAATAATAAAAATTTCAACGAGATTTTTTAAAAAAAAAACTTTTGAATATAATAAATTCCGCAAAGAATTTTATTATTTATAAAAATAATTGAATCCCTGTAAAAAATTTTAAAATTTATTAAAATAATTGAATTATTGCGAAGGAATTTATAAAAAAATTTGTAAATAATAGAATTCCTGTAAAATTTTTATTTATTTATGAAAATAATTAAATGTTTGCATATAGAATTTTATTAAAACTTTTTTTTTAAATAATTATTTTTGTTTTGTTTAAATTTTGTTTAAATAATTGATTTCTTTTGGAAAATTTTATTAAAATATAGTAGATATTGAAAATCATTGAATTGCGAGGAAAATTTTTGAAAATAATTGAAATTTTGACAAGAATTTTATTATTTATAAAAATAATTGAAATTTTTGACGAGAATTTATTATTTATAAATATAATAGAAATTTTGACGAGAATTTTGTTAAATTTTCGAACATAATTGAATTTCTGAGAAGAATTTTATTACTTTTGAAAATAATTATAAATTTCTTAAATAGAAATAATTGAAGGTTTTTGTATTAGAATGCGTGGTAATTTCATAGTTTATGAGGTAAATAAAAAGGACACAAAAATTCTGAATTTTCTTATGAATTCTAAAAATTTAATTTTTTCCAAAACTTTTAATAAAAATCCCTGACTTTTCCTTGAATTTTTCCTGACCAATTTCTACTTTTCCTGACTTTTCTCTGACAGAATTCCCTGACTTATGATCTTATAAGGGAGACAAAAAGAAATCCGAGCAGTAAAAACAGAAATCGATTTACGGGACGATTTTGATGTTGACTATTCGTTAGTTAATATGATGTAATTATAATAATGGTCGTATGAAATAATAAGTAAATATTCAATTATCGTTGTATAACGAACGAACGAGAGAGAGAGAGACAAGGAAGCGGATTATGGAAGAGAGGATTTCTGTAGAGTTGATGTCAATTGTGGTCAAAGGGGATGAGAGTGAGATGAGTCGAGTTTGCTGATAATGAAGGTAATGACGAGGATAATGATGATGCTGATGATTGAGTGAAGATTGAAGATAATGAAAAAATCGATAAAATAACCCACGACTATTTGATTGATAAATTCGCTGATTAAACTTCGTGAAATGAGAACGAGAAGCGAACTGTAATTATCATTATTGTTCTTATTACTATTTTTATTTATTTTCTTGTTATTATTATTGAGACAAAAAACTATCAAAATTGTTTTGAAGCTACAATGGTTTCAATTTGACAATTTGAGAAAAAGTATGTTGCCAATATTATTATTATTACTATTATTATTATCAGAGTGAATACTGCTGTAGTGGATGATTATTTAAAAAAGAAATAAAAAAGTAAGACGAGAAAAGAAATCATCAAATTTCTGAATTGCTTTTTATACCCTTGAGGATCTTCAGTTTTTAGTTTCAGCCTCTCCGAGAAAAGGATCTCGAGGAGAGAAAGTCTCACAAGTTACTCTCCGACTTTCTCTTGCGACCCTTTTCATGAGCGGCAAAAGTTACCGCGTTCATTCTTCAAGCAGTTCTTCTTGAAAAGAAAATTTTGACTCCAAGATGTCTAACCCATATTTTTTCTTCCTATAATCCCTCTTCAAATTTTTATTATTTTCTTGTAGCGAAAATTTTCCACTTTCTTAAAAGAAATTAATTTTCAGAAAAAAAACTTGCTCATATAGAAAATATACGAAAAAAATATAAATTTTTGAAAAGGAATCGAAAAGCAAAAAAAGAAACGTATTCGCTTCGTTCTTTTCTTTTTTCTCAACTGCATTAGCGAAGCAAATTTCTGATTTCGCTCTTGAAAGACCACCTTCACCGAGTTCTCCATCAAAGCGCAACTATAGCACGCCATCGTAATTGAAAACAAGCTCTATACACGTAAACGACGTTGAAGAGTGAGAGTATGTCTATCATTGTTGGAGAGAGGGGAATAAGTGTAAAGGGGGATTTTGCTGGATTCGTGACGTCGGGGAAAAACGTGGTAAGTATGTGCCATTGACCCAGTAATATCTGGCACAACCTTGAATTTGTCGTAGTCTTGATTAGGCGACTATCAGCTGTGTTTTATAAACAAGTTGGGATATTTTATCATCGAAACTTGCATAAGTATCATAAAGATAATTCAGTTACATTTCTCTATTATATAATATTAGTTCATTTTTTTCTCCCTCTTTTTTTCTTCTTCTTTTTTATTTTCAATCATTTTATATGTATTGCGATCTTAATTTCAATTCATTGCACATCAGCTGATGTAAGTACACAGCTTGAAGACTTTCATTTATCAAATATTGTTTCGCTCAACTGTTATTTCTGAATTTCGCATTGTGCGAAAATATTTTCACTTTCGAACTAATAACAAAGCAGGGTGTCTACTATTTTCGTTCAACAAAAATCCCAGTTTTTTCCTAATTTTTCACGGTTTTTTTTTCTCATTAAATTTAAATTTATTTGATTTCGAACACAAATAAATCTACAAATAACTTCCAAAATTTTTATTAGAGTTTTTATGAATAATTGAATTCTTTTGTCAAGTTTTTTTAAATTTTTTGAAAATAATGTTTTTTTTAATAATTTTAATTAAAAATTTGGAAAATAATTGAATTAAACAAAGAATTTTTTCAATTTTATAAAACAATTATATCTGTTCACAATTATAATTGAAAATTTGATTAATTCAATTTTATTAAAATGTATTGATACTAACTGAATTTCTGCAATGAATTTTACTATTTATAAATGTATTTGAATCCTTCCAAAGAATATTATTATTTATGAAAATCATTCAATTCTTGCGAAGAATTTTATTAAAATTTTTGAAAATAATTGAATTGTGGAGAACAATTTAATTATTTATAAAGATAATATTGAAATTTTGAGGAGAATTTAAAAAAAATTTTTAAACATAGTTGAATTTCTCCAAAGAATTTTATTACTTTTGAAAATAATAAATTGAATTGTTTTTTTAAAATTTTATGGAAATTTATGAAAATAATAATTGAGTTCTTGTAAAGAATTTTTTTTTGAAAATAATATTCAAAAGAATTTTGAATTTTATCTGAATTTTATGTGAAGAATTTTGCTATTTATGGAAATAATTGAATTCTTTAAAGAATTTTTTTTATGAATTCTAAAAATTTAATTTTTTCCAGTATTTTAGCAAAAAATTCCCTGACTTCTTTTTTTCCCTGTCCAAATTTACTTTCTTTGAATTTTCCCTGAATTTCCTGATCTCTGATACCCTGTAAAAGTAAAATCCAATTTTTGTGTCAACAAAATAAAAAATTATGTTTAATACATTAAAGGTGAATTTACTTAATTTGAGGAAAGTTGGTCGGTATCATTTAAGCGAAATAGAATACATAAAAAGTGAATCATTCTTCAAAGGAAAACGATGATTCAGGTGGATTATTGCTCACTATAAGCACCTTTATTTCCTTAAGACATTGCTAAAGCGTCAAATTTCACACACTGATAAATAAATTTCTATTCATTTTTATATTTCTCAAAGAAATTAAAAACTGTCATGTAGAATATTTTATAAACCCCAAGAATCAGTAAAAAATGTTTATTAAATTACATATTTTCCTAGTTCATTATAATATTATTTTTCTACGGGAATTTAAATTTTGAAAAATTTCAAATTTCAATTCCTATGAAATTTAATAATTTATAAGAATTGCTAAACTATGTAATTTCTTTATTTTCAAGAATTCAATTCAATTATTTTTTTCAGAATTTTCAACTAAAATTTTTTTCTAAAATTCAATTATTTTTAATAATTTTTATAAAAGTTCCTTAAGAATTCAATTATTTTTATTTCAAGAAAAAAGTTGACCGAAAATATTTTTGAAACCCTCTTATTTACAATTCAATTTCGCATGAAATTTAAATAATTTGATAATTTTTCAATTAAATATATATTAAAAAATGTCACCAATTTAAAAAAAAGATTTCGAATAAAAATATTTCAAAAAAGTAACTTCAGATTTTTTAATAAAACATTTTTAATTCAACTTTTCTGAAACTTCAATTATTTTTTTTTTTTTTAAATCCAATTTCAATTCCCCGACCTGTGGCAACTCTGAATAATAATAATAATAATAATAACATTGTGACATTCTTTTTCGTTAAATTTTTAATTTCGTTTAATTAAAATATTTTAATTTGATTTTTAATTTTTAAATATTATTAATAAAATTTTTGAGTTTCTAAAGAGGACAGTACTCTTTAAATTTTAATTACCTAGTAAAAATTTTTACTAATGAATCAGTGAAAATTACTATTTATTAGTAAAATTTACTAATTTAAAAGCAAAAAAAGTCAGTCAATAACTCAAATTTAGAGAGCAGAGCTTATTCAAACGTTAAAGGAATTGTTTACACGGAGAGAAGAGTTATATTTGTGACAACAAAACAATTATATTTATATTAAATTTAATAATTAATAATTTTAATGTCAATATCCATCACTTCGAGGTAAAAATAATTAATTTCAATTAATTGATTAATTAAATTAATATTGACACTTGCAAAAGATTTAAATATAACAAACTAAAATTATACAATTGAATACGAAATATTCCTCGCAAACTTATTTGATATTCTAGTTATAGAATGAAAAAGAAGAAGAAGAAGCTATTTTACTCACCATTTTTTTTATAATGCAGACTTTGGAGAGTCAACTTCCTTCTATAAGTCATAGATATTTTAAGTTCCTTTCAATTCAAAAGATTTCATTGGCGTCCAGAAGTTTATAAATATAGACTGTCTTTGAAACATTTCACTTTTAGATATCTCATTCAGAAATTAAACTTGTTTCATCTCAGTCACTCATGGCTTCTTCGAATTCCTTCCAAGTGCTCAATAATTCTTGCCAATTCAAACAATAGTAATTGACCTGCCAATTGGACTCCTCTAAAATATACATTTCGAACCATCTCAATTTTTATGAATGAATCCTAAAAACAGAGGAAAATTAAGACTAAAAGCAAACAAATTTAGAGACTGCTCGCTCGTGACTTATTAGAGGTTAGGAATAATTGATGATCAACAATCAATTATTTTCTCTGATACGACAAAACGCTAAATTCACAATAGATATATCAAATTGACAATGATAAAGTACCTTAAAACTGACACTGTGAAATGTCCTCCAAGTAGACACCGGATTCTTATAAAGTGAAAAGTCTATCTCCTTTATCCGCAGGATCGTGAGACGAGGAAAGGAACAATAATGCAAACTCTCTGGGATTCGCAGGAGTGAGAGAGATGGAAAATGGTATCAAGAGAGAAATGGAAGTCTATACATATAAAACGTCGACAGGTCGTGTGATACCCAGTTACGTCACAGACGGAACAACTGGTTGCTGATGGTGAAAGAGGATGAGGAAAGGTTTGGAGAGAGAGAGAGAGAGAGAGAGAGAGAGAGGGGTTGGGGGTGGGTGTTAGGGGGATTAAGGGGGGACAACGATAGGGGAATTCCGGAGATCACGGGGCAGTGTGGGGTTTACTCTGAGAGTGAGACAGACATTCACTCACTGAGTAAGAGTGAGTCCATGGTGGCACTGCCGAGGGGGTGCCGAGGGGGACACACTGAGGGAGAAGGAGGAAGGAGGGTGATATATACAAAACGCAAGGTCACGAGTGCGGCTATAGGTTGGGTATCTCTGTAAACACGTAGTGACGTAGCACGTGCCATAGTGTGGTAAAAGGGGGAAAGAGGGTGGGACACCTCTTCCTCCCCCCCGCGGACCACCGCGTTGCTCCCATGCCCTTTCTATCCCTCCACATGTCTGACCCACTGACTCCTTTTACTTCGACCCCTTTCCTTTCCGCATCCAGGACCAAAATTGGAAAGAGGGCTTTTATTGCTATTGATTCCGCTCCATCAAGATAGAAAGACACACACACACGTAAGATTGAGATCTTATTCGGTTAAAGTCTTCGCCATCCTAAAGGACTTTATATTCTTTATCCATAAATAGAGAGAGGATAGATTTATTTTTCATAACTTCTTCCGCAACAATTTCTAATGAGGAAAGTTTATCCTCTTCTTGGTATTCAATTATTTTCAGTAAGAAACTGGTTGGGGCTTTTTTTATCGTTTTTGGTATATAATAAAATGAAAATCGTTTATCTCGTAGTATAATAAAATGAATAAAATGAAAAATGTTCAAATAGTGGAAGAGAGTAAGAAATTTATCGAGAGAATGCTTATCAATTTACCTTAAACAACACAGGCGGTGATAAGAGAAGGAATAACTTCCCTGGACTCGAAGTTGCACTCAGAGGAACTTTTCTTGATTTCTACCACTTTTTTGGTTGATGCTACCATATTTTACGGCTGATTGTGATTCCAATTCTGTGTGATGCAACAAAACGGAAGACCAAACATAACCTCTCTCCAAGAAATCGCGAATCTTTAGCTACTTTGCGTGACTAGAGGTTAGGAATTGTTGATGATAGATAATAAATTATTTTCTGACACGACAAAACGCTAAATTTACAATATTTATATTAAATTGAGTATACTTTCAACGAAAATTAAAAACAATCTGACGACACGAGCAAACAACTGTTAAAAACCGTTAAAAACTGAACCTAAAGTAACGGACCACCGGCAGGTGGCGCTGCCTGACATGGGTCGAATTCTACAAACCTGATTGGTTGTCCATAATCTTACAAAAAGTGGACAACCAATCACATTTGTCTAACAAGCTTCGTGTCACACAGAGCCATCTGCTGGTGACCAACCAAATTTTTCTATAGGTAAAGTCATGAAGGTGCAACATAACCTAAAATTTTGTTGACAGTTCAAACCGCATAATTTCCAAACAGAAGATTGTAGTTGAAATTTGGAAAATATTTCTTGTAAATAAAACCAAATTGAATATTGGGCTGAAAAATTTTGAAGCCACAAATTAAAGAAGAAGAAAGCAATTTGAATGGAAACAATCGACACATAAGGTCTTCAGAACATAAGACAATAATAATAACATTGTAAAAAAATCGTTCTACGAATTTAACATTTAAGCACACTATCTACAAGGATAATACGCACTGGAAACTATAATTGGAAAAACATTGTTACAAACCACTCTACAATTACATGCCAAATATAGTAACAACACTAAGGAAACAACACTTAAACACCACTAAAGAAGAAAAGTACGAGTATCCTTTGAATTTTTTTCCAAAAGAAGCCTTTGTAACAACCCAGTCTCTTTGAAAAAAAAGTAACCACCTTAAAAGCGACACTTTATTCGTTAATACTCTTTAAAAATTCTGAATTAATTCACTAAAATTGTTACTGAAAAAAATCCATTACTTCTCTTTGTTAACCAATTTTATTAAAAGTGCAATTTCATTGCACAATAGTCAAACACTTATTAATTTTGTTATTTTCTATATTCGTAATATTGAAAAATGGTATAAAAATCGTTTTCTGGACAACTTTATAATTTATAAGTCTCTCTAAATAATTCAGAATAATTTCATATTCCCTGTATACGTTTTTTCAGAATGAAAATTATTTAAATATTAATCAGCATTTTACAGGAAATTAGATGCTGGTAAACTGATTCAAGAATATTTAAAATAGAATTTTTCTCGTTTATATATTGGTATATTTTTCCATATAATTTCAGTATTATAAGGAATAATAAAAAATTGGAATTTTTTTTGTTGGTAAATGCAAAAAAAAAGCTATTGAAATTTAAACAAATTTTATATGAAAACTGGTAAATTACAAAATGAATGGGCGAGTAATTAAATTTTCATAAACTGCATTATTGTGTTCCGGAAAAAAAATTAGAAAAATAATGCGTGCATTTTAGATTTTTTTTTACTTGTCAATTTGTAAAATTGTCAAAGACAATAACTGTGAGATAATTTACTCGTTTCTTTCAAGAATATTTAAAATGGTAAAATAAGTTTAATTTTCGTTACTTTTCAACAATTGTACTCTTTAAGTCTGAATTAACAACAAAATTATTACTTTACGTTACTTAATTTTATTAAAATCTTCAAAAATAATTAAATTCTTTCGAGAAAATAATTGAATTCTTACTAAGAATTTTATCGAAATTTCGGAAAATAATTGAATTCCTTTGAAACAATTTCATTAAAATTGTATTTAAAATAATTAATTTCCTGCGAAAAATGTTGTGTATGAAAGTATGTAATTAAACTTTTGTGAATAATTATTTTAAAATTTTTGAAAATAATTCAATTGTTTCGAAGAATTTTACTAAATTTTTTTACAAAAATTATTAAAAAAATTAAATTTTTCAAGCAATTTAATTTAAATTCTAAAGACAAAATTTAATTCTTATAAAGAATTTTATTAAAATTTAAGAAAATTGAATTCCTTTAAAAAAATTTTATTAAAATTGTTTTTAAAATAAATAAATTTTTGCGAAAAATGTTGTGTATGAAAATAATTGAATACTTTTGAATAATTCTGTTAAAATGTTTGTAAATAATTCCATTATTTCGAAAAATTTTACTAAATTTTTGTTACAAAAACTAGTTAAAAAAAATAAAATTCAAAAAATTTAATTAAAATTCTGAAGACAATAATTGAATTTTTTAAAAGAATTTTATTTAAAATAATTAAATTCCTGCGAAAAATGTTGCATATGAGAGTAGTTGAATTTTTATGAATAATTCTATTAAAATTTTTCAGAAAAACTTCAATTATTTCGAAGAACTTTAGTAATTTTTTTTTACAAAAATTATTAAAAAAATTAAATTTTGCAAGAAATTTAATTAAAATTCTTAAGACAATAATTGAATTCTTATAAAGAATTTTATCGAAATTTCGGAAAATAATTTTATTGAATCTACTCTTTCAAAGAATTTTATTAAAATTGTATTTAAAATAATTAAATCCTGCGAAAAATATTGTTTGAAAATAATTGAATACTTGTGAATAATTCTGTTAGAATGTTTAAAAATAATTCAATTTTTACGAAAAATTTTACTAAATTTTTTTACAAAAATTATTAAAAAAATTAAATTTTTCAAGAAGTTTAATTAAAATTCTAAAGACAATAATTGAATTCTTATAAAGAATTTGATTGAAATTTTGGGAAATAATTGAATTTTTTAAAAGAATTTTATTAAAATTTATTGTATTTAAAATAATTCTAATAAGAAGAAGAATAAATTCAATTATTTCGAAGAATTTTATGAAAATTTCTGAAAAAAATTGAATTTTTCAAGTAATTTATTATAATTTTGGAAAATAATTCAATTATTTCGAAGAATTTTATTAAATTTCTGTTAAAAATTTAATAAAATTGTATAGGAAATAATTGAATTCTTGCAATTAGAATTTTATCAAAATTTGCGAAAACAATTGAATTGTTTCGAAGAATAAATTTTACTAAATTTTTGAAAAAAATAAAATAATAAATAATTCAATAAGTGGATTTTTTTAAAATTTTGAATCTGAAATACTCAGAAATTGAAAATTAATATTTAGTAATAAAAAATTTCGTAATTTGCCTAATAATAAATTAAATTCAGCGTTTTGCATTTACCATTATGATATAAACGAGAAAAAAATGTAGAGTAACTTTTACTATTAATAAACTAAAACCCAAACTGTCAGAAAGTTCTGCGCATTTCGCCCAACTTTTACTATTTTCATTTATTTCGCTACATTCAAAGTGAATTTTACTCAAGTTTTAGAAGAATTCACTTTGGAAAAAGGGAATTTTTTCCAAAAAATGTAAAGCAAAGCAAAAATGCGTAGAAATTCCTGGCAGTTCAAATTTTCCCAAGAATTTTACTCCGAAAATAGTAAAAATTACTTAATTCTTCCGTGTAGTAAAAATAAAATTTCTTTCCTTAATAATTAAGAAAAAAACAGTCAAACTAATTGTCATATTTTGTTGAAAAGGAAAATAAAACAAAAAATAAATAAATAGTATCAAAGTGGGGAGATGAAAGA